GGGGGTGGGGGAGGGTCTAGCGATTAGCCAATCAGCGCCACGCTGATGTCAAGCTGTGCGCCGGTGGGTAACTGGTGAGGATAGCAACAATGGCGACCGCTATAGATCCTACAGACCACATTAACGATGCTATCTAGGTATTTCGCCACTACTCGCGTTAATGGAGGACCAAATTAAGGAAGCTGCTAAACTGGATTTAACGGCGATGCAGCTGGGCATGCACAATGATGGAGACATTTTAAATGGGCAATGCTCACTTGTTTTCGGCAACCCCGAGGCATGGATACTAATGACGTCAGATTCTGGGTGAGTAGTTGATCTCTACTGATTGGTTAGGGAAAAATCAAATTCCCTCCCCCTTGTAAATCGCCTTCAATGGAGGCGATGCCAGACTGAAAGTTCTGGGAGCTTCAGTCTGACACTCAGGCTAACAGATTCATTTTAAAATTTGCTAATGATTCGGTAATAGTCAGCCTCCTTCATGATGATGAATATGCCCATGGTCCTGTGGTTGATGAATTTGCAGACTGGTGTGAAAATGCTTTTCTCCAATTAAATGTATGGAAAACTAAGGACATGTGCATTGATTTTAGACAGAAGCCCAATAACACCAATCAGAAAACAGTAATCAAAGGCCAGACAGTAGACATTGTCGAAAATTACAAATATCTTGGGACTATTCTGGATAATAAGTTAAATTTTACCTGCCATTCAGAGAACCTGCAAAAAAAAAGGCCAGCAATGACTGTCCTGTCTGAGAAAACTCTCCAAGTTTCAGATCGATAAGTCCCTGATGATCTTATTTTATAGATCATATATTGAATCTGTGCTGACCATTTTTCTCCTCTGCTGGTTTGGCAACCTTAACACCAGGTCAAAAAATGCACTAAGCAGAGTGATAAAGACAAGTAATACGATTCTGGGAGTTCAACAGTGCACACTTACAGATCTGTTCAATAGACAGATAATCAGGAAGGCTAATGCCATTCTTTCTGACAGCTCCCATCCTTTACACTCTGAGTTCCAGTTTCTGCCTTCCGGCCCCCGTCTCAGACTTCCTCGTATGAAAAGTAACAGGTACAAGCACTCCTTCGTCCCTACAGCCATTTCCCTTTTGAATTCAGGACAGGGTAGGAGGAGTCGTACCTGACTGGTTGATATTCATGGAGCTTCTTATAGGCAGGCTGATTTTTGCTTTTGTCTCCATGTGGTGTTATTGATGTTGGCAGAAATTGATAATTACGCACTGTTTGCACTTTCCCTATCTTGTATGGGCTATTTGAGTCGCTGCTACTGATGTTGTTTCAGCACAATGTATTATCCCTCCCCCCTCTTAGACTTTTAATTGTATGTCTTGTACATTTTTTATGTCTTTTTTTTATTTGCCGCAACACTAATTGCCCTACGGGGACACAAATAAAGCTGAATCTGAATCTGAATCTAGACCTCTCTAATAAAAACAGTCATTTCACCTGGCAGAGTGTGGGAGTGGTTGCGTTTAATGTTACCTCAATCAGTTAGTTGTGTGTGTTACTGATATGTTATTGTGTGACATTGGTGTTTTAAAGGGTTAGTTCAGTTTCAACAAAGTCACATGAATAATAATAATAATATATTTATGGTATATGCCGGTTAAAGTGGCAGCAAGTCTGAGTAACTCCTGTTTTTAAGCCATGTTTGAGTGTGTTTTTTTGTTTGTTAATTTTTCCAATGTGATGAGGGATGACCTTCTGGCTCTGAGAGGAATCACTTGCGGAGTCAGACACCCGATATCGACTGAGCTGAGGAAGCCGTTCAGAGGCTGCAAAGCAGGAGCTAAGCTAAAGGCTAGGAGTTGGAGATATAAGCCTTTCCCACCATTGGTCCTTATGGGGGATGTAAACACACTATCCATGTGAAGAGCTGCCGGCACTGGTGAGGAGCCGACGACTCTACAGGGAGTGTAGTCTCATGTGCTTCATGGAGACGTGGCTGAATGACAACGTGCCTGACTCCTGTGTAAACCAACCTGGCTTCTCTACTGTGCGAGCAGACAGGGTCGCGAAGCCAAACGGCAAAAAAAGAGGTGGGGGAATGATCCTGCTTGTGAACAATAAATGGTGTCATCCTGGACATATCACGGTGAAGGACAAGATCTGCTCACAGGATATTGAACTGTTGGAAGTCAGTCTTAGTTTTCACACATTGTCGCCATTATTGTCTACATTCCACCACAGGCAGCGACAGCAGTGGCGTGTGACGACATCCATGAAACTGTTGCTAGGATTCAGACTCAGCATCCTAGTGCATTCATTGCAGTAATGGGGGATTTTAACAACACTGCTCTCTCCTCCCATCTGACTGGGTTTGTTCATTATGTGGACTGCCCCACCAGGGAGAATAAGACACTAGATTTGTTTTATGGAAATGCCAAGGACACCTGCAGTGCCTCTGCCCTACCACTTGGCAGATTAGATCATAATCTGGTCTCTCTCCAGCCTACATAAAAACCCTTTGTATGAAAGTTGCCTGTTACCACCCGCTCAGTGAGGAAGTGGTTCCCGGAGAGCAGTGAGTCTCTCAGGGACTGTGTTGAATGTACAGACTGGACTGTACTACTGGAGCCACAGGACAACATGAACATGGACAGGAGGGTGGATATATAACAGAATATATAAACTTCTGTAGAGACACTGTGATGCCAGTAAAGACTGTACACTGCTTCCCCAATAATAAACCCTCAGTTTACAATAATAGCAAGCAGCTCCTCAACCAGAAAAATCTGGCGTTCAAGAAAGGGGACAAGGAGAGACTCCAGGAGGTTCAGCTTGAGCTGAAGGGGAGACTGAGACAGGCAAAGCTGGACTACAAAAGAAAGGTGGAGAGTAAGCTGCAGCAGAACAACGTCAGAGAGGTGTGGAAGGGAATGAGGGACATCACAAGCTATTCAAAGAAGAATAGCCAGGTTATGGATGGTGATGTGGACAAAGCCAACCACTTCAACCTGTTTCTTAATAGGTTTGATGGAGGGGGCAGTGTTCACCCTACCCTTGCATCCATCCTCTCTTCCACAGTGTCACTTGCTAGTAGCCCCTCCCCCACTACTGCAGCTACAGCTACAACATCTACCAACCACAGCCAACTAACACAGTCCTTTAGAGCAGACAACATGAGGGCGGAGCTCAGGAGACTGTGTACAGGGAAAGCTGCGGGCCTGGATGGAGTGTGTCCAAGGCTCCTGAAAGACTGTGCAGCCCAGCTAGTGGAACCCCTTCTGTGGCTCTTTAACAGGAGTCTTCAAACAGGCAAAGTCCCGGTGTAGTAGAAAATATCTTGTCTCGTAACGGTTCCCAAAGTCGAGTGCCCGGCCAAGTTAAATGACTATCGACTGGTGGCCTTAACATCATACATTATGAAGTCCCAGAAGCACCTGTCAGGAGCACATGGGAGTGGAAGATGCGGTTCTTTACATGCTGCATCAGGACTACACCTACTTGGAGGAGCCAGGATGTTGTGTGAGGATCCTTTTTCATGACTTTTCAAGTGCTTTTAATACTATTCAGCCCCCCATACTGAGAGACCGGTTGGAGGGGATGGGAGTAGATCGCTTCCTGACCTCCTGGATAACAGACTACCTGACAGGGCGGCCTCAGTATGTCAGATTTGGAAGCTGTGTCGCGGGTATGGTCAGGAGCAGGACTGGTGCTCCACAGGGAACTGTTTTAGCACCCTTCCTTTTCCCACTCTACACAGCGGACTTTAAGTACAACTCAGAGTTCTACCTCATACAAAAATACTCTGACGATACAGCTATTGTGGCTTGTATCAAGAGCAATCAAGAGTGGTGTTTCCACCTGAACACAGCAAAACAAGGATGGTGGATTTCAGAAGAAAGAAGTCACACCATCAACCAGTCTCCATACAGGGGGAGGACATTGAGGTGGTGCACACCTACAAATAGGAGGGGGCAGAGCCACCTGTTCTTACTGCGAACACTGAGGTCCTTTGATGTGTGTGTGGAGATGTTGACCATGTTCTATTATACAGTGGTGGCCAGTGCATTTTTGTATGCTGCAGTGTACTGGGGAAGAAGCTTGACAGACAAAAGCACCAAATGTTTGGACAAGCTGGTTAAAAAGCTGGCTGAGTGCTTAGCAGGAGACTGGACCCACTAAGAACTGTGGTGGAGAGGGGCACATTGAACAAACTGAAAGCTATAATGGACAATAGCAGACACCCTCTCCACAGCCTCCTGGAGCAACAGAGGAGCAGCTGCAGCAGTCGGCTTAGAAACAGAGTGTTTCAGGAGATCCTTCATCCCCCTGGCAAAAAGACTGTTTAATACCTCTTGAATCCAGTCACACACTCACACTTACACACATCACTTTAGCCACAACTGGCTCAATCAAGGCAGCAGTAGAGGCCTGTTTAGCCCAGTTGAGACCAAGGATTTGCGAAAAGATTAGTTGAAACAGGCAACTACTTGCAATGTGCCATTCTGAAATGTTGTTCAAACCTGCCGGTTTACAGCAATGCAACTAGATGGGACGGTCTATCATCTTTATGCAACAACTCTCTTCCATTCTGATTTCCAGCTTTTCAGGCTTATTTTGTGGCTGATTATAATTTGCAGCTTCTTAAATTATAAATGATGACAGTGAGCTACAGTTGTATTTTTAGTGTTAAAATGGGGAAAAACAGAAACGAAACGAGCATCAGTTGGACTGTATTTATAATAAATACGCCACAAAATATAAATAATCAGCACCAATTAATCAGTCAGTGAGAATGTGTGTGTTTGGGGGGGCATAAGCACATACAGTGAGCAGCAGCAGCAGCAACCCACCGTCCCATACCGGCACACCATGAGGACAGAAACGGTGGGCTCAGAGGGGACAGAGCACCTGCCTCAGCAAGTGAACATGCCCTCTGCATTCATTTTGATTTAACCAGCAGACTTCACTACAAGTTGACTGGCTGAAAAAACAGGTGATGTGCTTTACTTTCTAAAACCAGCCACTGGTGATTTCACCAGCTAAGTTGCAGGTGACACCATCACCTGGCTTGAGTCAAGCTCAGACCACAAAGTTTACACTGCTACAAATTTTCTGTGAAACATTCTAAAACGGTTTTGTCTCATTGCAAATCAATGGTCTGAACTGAACTTTAGATATAATAACTGTTTTCTTCAAAATATACTTATGGCTTTGAAGGGAGCAAAGATGGATTTAACAGCTCCAGAAAATGTGAAAATATTCCAATTTTAGCCCAGGTACGCTGTTTTTTAGGTGACTAAAATACATTTTGCTGCTGTCCCCGATACACAGCAGTACATTATTAGCTTCTTGCTGTCTGCTTTTCCAAACTGGGGGCATGCCCTTCTACTGTAATTGACTGTGGATAAGAACCTCATGCATCCTCACTTCAAACAATTCAAACTATTCCTTTAAGTACAGTGCACACGTAAGTCCACACATGGCAACTTCCATATTTGCAAAGGGACAACCAGTATACTCCTGGTGACACCAGTATTCAATTTTCACAGCAAAATAAATATATTCTACTTAAATTACTGTAATCACTGAATTTTCTTGCGTAGGAGTTTATTTGCGCTAATCTTTTAAAAACTATCATACACATCCTGTCACCAACAGATTTTGCATATATATGCAGATATCTGTACATAGCGATTAACTGGAGTGAGACAATTTTTTGGAACTTGCTTGACCTTGACCTACTTGACCTTACTGTATTAACTAACCTATTGTGACCCCTAGGATAATCACAGCCTTGTAAAATTTTACAGTCACAGATAAGAGACCTAGCACATTCAAAAGAGGTATGGCTATCCTAGGTATATTGACAATAAGAGAGTTTCTTAGCAATATCCAGAGGTGTTCAACATCCAAATGCCAAAATATCCAAATGTCAAAAACATTTGCTCCCACATGGTGTTCAAGGCCTTGGTGTCTTCATGTGTTTTTTGGTGGGACTTTTTGGTCATGGCTGAATTTGGCATAATATCTGTGTGACAAATGGTATCAACCCAAAAATTGCTGCAACAACTTATAAGACACAACTGAACGTGAGAATGGCCATCATATACTTGATCATAATGTTCTAAGGCCTTCTACGCTATAAAATTTTGTATGTTTGAATGGGTGCTTAACCAAAACACAATGTTTATTACAAATTTATGACTAGAAAAACTTTGACTTGCTATGACCTGCTTTCTCCCCTTAAAAATGGTTCTATGGTGGGTCTCAGAGGGTTGAATAAGTAACAATATTGCCAATGTGACATTATCCCACTGGTGACCAAGCTAATGAGCTTGTTTAGAACTCACTCTCCTCCAGAATCTCCTCCATTGTCTCCCCAAGTGTCATCTCTCCATCACTAATGGACAAGCTTTTCCTGGTGAGAAAGTCAAGCTCTGTTGTGCCACAGACCTTCAACCTCTGACCTTTAACCTCTCCTATTCCAAGCCCCTCATCTATTCCATGTACAGCCACCTGAAACAGGTGCGGGTGTGATGCAGAGGTGCCATCCTCATCGTAGCAGTCACTCTGCTGGGAGCATTGTGGGTGGCGCCCTCCAGTGAACTTCCACAGGTGCTTGAGGGGGACACTCCGAAAACAGCTCCTGATCTGAAAATGGTTGGTGAACAGGAAGAGCTGCCAGCGCTTCTTCAGTTCAGCTTGGACCTAATTTTCAATATAAAGAGAAGTGTCATTGAAATGTAGCGTGTTACAGATTACTGGTTACCTTTTTAAAAATGTAATAAGTGATGTAACTATTTTAATTACGTTATTAAGAGTAATATGACTTCTTACATTTGATTACTTTTTAATTACTTTTCTAACACATACTTTAACTTTAAAACTTTTAGCAAAGAGGCTGTGCCAAAACAAGACATTCCTGCATGGCCAAAAAAATGTAATGTAACAGAATGTTTTATTCTACATCTTAACTTCTTACCAAAAAACAACATATTCAGATGTAACACCTCTGTAATCTACATTTTAAATAGTAACTAAATTTAATCACATTTTTCTTTTCTATTTTTTTCTTTCTCACTGTAATTTAATTACATGTAACAATTTACTTGTTCTGTCTGTTTACCAACTGGTGCTGGGCAGATATCATACAGTTGGTTTATATAACTGATTCTGCCTAAGATAACTGCTGGAAATTAGGTTCATTTGTTCGAGTTTGTGGTCCAAAACAAAACAATGAGCTAAACCAGGCTAAAAAAGCTTGGCCGCTATCTACAAAGTTGGATAATAAATATCTGTAAATTTGTCACTATGAATGACAGCTTCACATTACACAGTCATTTACCATTTTTAATATTAAGAATATCAATTAGTGCAGCTTTAAAGTCGAATTTAAAGAAATGTACCTCTCCATTAGCAAAACAGTACAGCACAGCAACCAAGAATCCCTGAAAAAGGTTACACATTACAAATTATGGTTAATGTGGGTTTATAACAAAAATGACTTGCCATGTTTTTCTTTTTCACAGGTGTTACCTGAAATGAGCTGAGGGTGAGGTTGATGAAGTTCCTGGCATAGCGACTGCTGCCCTCCACACATTCATCTATCAGCACAATGAAAACCACTTCATGGATTCCCAGCAAAGGAATCAGTACCAGTGTTGCTCTGGCCAAGCTGAAGGTTATTAACAAAAACATAATGTGGTGAATAAACTGAGACTTTTAGGACAAGGCAAAAACAGAATTAAAAGAATACACTACACTACTACTTTTTACTTTTACACTATACACTACTTTTCAAGATGCACTTCACTTGGAATGTGTTCAAGATGGCTGCTTCTGTTTTTCTCTGAATCTGTGGCTGATTTTCTGTCTCACAAAAATATGAGGAATCCTGCATTAAACTCAAAATTTCTGCTGCTGTTTCAACTAAGAAGATTAAAACCATCTCAATACTGAAAAATTGTGGACTTTGCTGGTATCTTTGGAGGTTTTTGGCTCTATTTTGAATCTATTCTGCTGAACTCTAGGCCCAGTAGGCCTTGATGACCAACCATGCCTCCTAAGCCTCAAACAACACCACTGAGGAATATGTCACCATGGCTCAAGTACGCGAATTTTTTGACCAGCAAAAGGTTTCTGAATCTGAAGAAAAATTGAGAGAACTATTCAGTGAGAAACTGCAACTGGATCATCCTGAAAATACAGCTGGACTGGGCTCATAGGACCTAACCTTTGTAGTTATTATCGAGCATTCTCTACATTTCATCTGAGTATAAGAAGTCTAAGTCCAGAAACTATGACAAATTCATTCATTATTTATCTTCACTCAAAGATAAATAATGTAGTTCAAGCTGAAGCCCACGGTTCGCCACCAGCCTGTTCATGTTTCCAATCGCTTTTCCCCACTCAGCGGCACACCCACTGAGGAGAAAACTCTGGTTATTGGCAGTTCTTTTTTGAGAAACATGAAGTTAGCAATACCAGCGGCCATAGTCAAATGTATCCCTGGGGCCAGAGCGGGCGACCTTGAGTCAAATTTAAAACTGCTGGCTAAGGCTAAATGTAGATTTAGTAAGATCGTTATTCACTTCGGCAGCAATGACATCTGGTTACGCCAATCGGAGGTCACTAAAATTAATGTTGCCTCAGTGTGTGAATACGCTAAAACTATGTCGGACTAAATAGTTTTCTTTGGACCCCTCCCAAATCTGACCACTGATGACATGTTTAGCAACATGTCATCATTTAATCGCTGGCTGTCCAGGTGGTGTCCAGCAAACAATGTGGGTTTCGTTAATCATTGGCAAACTTTCTGGGGAAAACCTGATCTGATTAGGAGAGATGGCATTCATCCCACTTTGGATGGAGCTGCTCTCATCTCTAGGAACCTGGCCAAGTTTATTAGTAATTCAAAACCCTGACAACCCAGAGTTGAGACCAGGACTCAGAGTTGAAGTCTTACACACTTCTCTGAGCTTCTAGTGCAGTTACCCATCCATAGTTTTATACAAACGGTGTCTGTCCCCCGACCACCTAAATTATCTAAATCTAAAATTAAACAAAGAGGAGTTGTGCATGACAACCTAATAAAAATTAAAACCTCCTCTGTGATAGAAAGACAAAACAGAAGAATTAAATGCGGACTGTTAAATATCAGGTCTCTAACATCTAAAGCAGTGTTAGTAAACAAATTAATATCAGATAATCATATTGATTTACTCAGCCTCACTGAAACCTGAAACTGTGTCAAGATGAATATGTCAATCTAAATGAATCCACTCCTCCCAGTCAAAATAATACCCACATTCCTAAAGGCAGCGGCCGAGGTGGGGGAGTTGCAGCCATTTTTAACGCTGGTCTGTCTATTAATCAGCCCTAAACCTAAACTAGATTATAATTCCTTTGAAAGCCTTTTATCTTAGTCTTTTACATCCGATCTGGAAAACCTCTCAGCCACTTTTATTTGTTGTAGTGTACCGTGCTCCTGGCCTGTATTCTGAATTTGTATCTGAATTCTCAGAGTTTTTATCCAGTTTAGTTCTTAAATAAAGTTATTATTGTAGGTGATTTTAACATTCATGTTAATGTTGATAATGACTCCCTGGCTACTGTGTTTATCTCATTATTAGACTCCATTGGCTTCAGTCAGGGTGTACATTAACCCACTCACTGTTTTAACCATGCCCTCAATCTAGTGCGGACGTATGGAATTGAAATTGATAACCTAACAGTCTTTCCACAGAATCCCTTGCTATCTTATCATTATTTGATTACTTTTGATTTATTTTTACTCGATTACACGCCACTCAGCAACAGTTACAATACTAGATGTTTATCAGATAGTGCTGTCGCAAAATTTAAGGAAATCATTCATTCGTCGTTAAATTTAATACCATGTCCTTCAGTAACAGAGGTTTCCCGTACTGACTTTAAACTCTCCCGAATTGATCATCTTGTCGATAGCACCGTAGGCTTGCTGCAAATAGCACTCGACTCTGTAGCACCTCTTAAAAAGAAGTCAACAAAGCAAAGAAAGTTCGCTCCTTGGTATAACTCTCAAACCCGTAAATTAAAACAAATATCACGAAAATTTGAAAGGAATTGGCAATTGACCAAACTGGAAGAATCTGGGCAGACGGTCTCAAAACGTATAAGAGGGGCTTCCGCAATGCCAGAGCAAACTATTACTCAGCTTTAATAGAAGAAAATAAGAAAAAACCCAGGTTTCTTTTCAGCACTGTTGCCAGGCTGACTGAGAGTCTCTGCTCTATTGAGCCTTGTATTCCTTTAGCCCTTAGCAGTAATGATTTTATGAGCTTTTTTAATGACAAAATTCTAACTATTAGTGGCAAAATTCATGACCTCCTGTCCTCAGATAGTACCTATCTAACCTCAAACACAGCTGTAAGACCTAATATATATTTAGATAGCTTCTCCCCGATTTCTCCTCAACAATTGACCGCAATGATTTCTTCATCTAAATCATCAACGTGTCTCTTAGACCCCATCCCAACTAGGCTACTTAGGGAAGTCTTAACTTCAGTTAACACTCACTTATTAGACATGATCAATATATCTTTATTAACAGGCTATGTACCACAGTCTTTTAAGGTAGCTGTAATTAAACCTCTAAAAAAAGCCCACCCAGAACCAGAGGTGTTAGCCAACTATAGACAAATATCTAATCTTCCCTTTCTTTCAAAGATCCTTGGGAAAGTAGTTGCAGACCAGCTGTGTGATTTTCTCCATGATAATAATTTATTTGAGGAATTTCAGTCAGGATTTAGAGTGCATCATAGCACTGAGACAGCACTAGTTAAAATTACAAATGATGTTCTGATTGCTTCAGACAAAGGATTAATCTCTGTACTTGTTTTATTAAATCTTAGTGCGGCATTTGACACAATTGACCATCAAATTCTGCTACAGAGACTAGAACATTTATTTGGCTTTAAAGGTTCTGCACTAAGCTGGTTTAAATCTTATTTATCTGATCATTTACAGTTTGTTCATGTTCACGATGAATCATCTCTATGTACTAAAGTTTGTTTTGGAGTTCCACAAGGTTCTCTGCTCGGACCAATCCTATTCACTCTATATATGCTTCTCTTAGGTAACATCATTAGAAGTCACTCTGTAAATTTCCATTGTTATGCGGATGATACACAATTGTATTTATCGATGAAGCCAGAAGAAACTAATCAATTAACTAAACTTCATAATTGCCTTAAAGACATTAAAATCCTGGATGAGAATCAATTT